CGCTTGTCCGCAAGGCCTGTGCGGACAAGCTCTCGGCTCGTGCCCTCCCCTGTGTCTTTCTTGGTTTCCTGGTGGGCCCCAATGACTACACCTTCTACCACCCGCACCTCCACCGGTTCCTTGACTTTCGTAACGTCACATTTGACGAGTCTGTTTCCTACTATTCCCAGTACCCCTGTCGAGGTCTCCTGGTTCCTCCCCCCCTTTTCCTCGCCCCCTCTCCTCCTCCTGCTCCAGCACCTCCGGTACACCCGCCACCCCCTGGTCCTGCCCCGTCACGTGTGTCCCACGCTATCCCTCTCCCCTCAGTCACGCGTCAGGTGCCGCCTTCTTCCCCACAGTCGTCCTCGCCATCCCCACAGCAGCCGTTAGCACTACCACATAAGGTTGCCGTGGACTCTGGGGGTGTTCGTGTTGGCGGCACGAGCGCTTGAGGTGCTAGTTCTGGGGCTGCTGGAGCTGAGGGTACAAACATAGGGGGTGCTAGTTTTGAGGGTATTGAAGCTGATGGTACTGGCACTAGGAGTACCAGTTCAGGGGGTGTTGGAGCTGCAGGCACTGGCACTGAAGGTGCTAGCTCTAGGGGTGTGGGCGTTGGTGGTACTAGCGCTGGTGGTACCCGTTCTTAGCGAATTGGAGCTGGGGGCACTACTACGTCGTCGCCTCCTCCACCTCCCCACTGACACGACACGCTTTTCCAGGCTGCTTCTCTGCGTGCGAGCGAGGAGAAGGAGAGGTTGGTGCATAATTCTCTAGAGCCTGAGCAGCAGCAAGGGTTGCAGCAGCAGCACCAGAAGCAACAACAGCCCATGTAGGCGCTTTTGCAGCAACGTTTCCCACCTGTAAGTGGTCTTCGAACCCTTGGTCTCCCTTCCTCCTCTTCGGACCACTCACCGCCTCGTCCTGCTCACATTCTTCCTCCTTCGGACTTGTCCCCGTCTGTTGTCTCTCCTCTTCATTCCCAGCCCGCCCCTTCTGTTGTCCGGCCCTCTCACGTCCGCCCTGTCCCCCAAGTGCCCGTTCCTCATCTCTTGTTGACGACCATTGCACTGCCCTCCTCTTCTCTAGTTGTCGTCATTCTCCGCCTTCGTCTGTTCTCCCATCTCCTCCAGATGCGTCTCTTCCTGTCTCCTCTACCCCTATCTCTGATTACTACCGCACTACTCGTCCTGTAGTCTCCCGTGTTTACGCCCCTTTGCGACCGACCCTCGTGCCTCTCCGTCGTATGTCTCGGCTCTCACTGCTACCGTCAGTGACTTTGCTGCCACTCGCCACCTTGACTACGCCACCCGCGTGATGGCTGCTCCCCCTATCCGTCCTCTGTTCGGCGGGGCTGCATTGGCTGTGACATCTTAGAGGACAGGCAGTTTGAGCTGGAGCTCTTGACAGCCGCTTCTCCCCAACTCTGTGCCACGTTGCTAGCCCTTGAGGGAGACCGCGACACCCTTGACATGCCGACTCCTCACACGTACCGTCAGGCAGTGTCAGGGCAGTGTACCTCTTACTGGATAGCAGCCATGGACTCAGAGATGGCTTCTTGGAGATCCACAGACACTTGCGTCGATGCAGTTCCACCACCTGGTGCAATCTTAGTTGATGGCATGTGGATCTTCAAGCTGAAGCGGCCGCCTGGTTCCCCGCATGTCTTCAAGGTGCGCTACGTCACTAAGGGCCCCAGTCGGCGTGAGAAGTTGAATTCTTCCAGACTTTTGCCCCGACCCCGTAGATGATTACTCTTTGGGTTTTACTTTACGTTGCAGCACAGTGAGACACAAGAGCTGCACTCCTGCGACTTCTCCGCTGCTTTTCTCCAAGGTCGCTTGCTCGAGGAGATCTGGCTGTGCCGTCCTTGTGGCTTCACTGACACTTTCCCGCATGGGACCCAGTGGAGCCTAAGGCGTGTAGTCTAGGGAATCCGCTAGTCGCCCCGTGAGTGGCACGACACGCTACGGACTACTCTTGCTGACCTTGGGTTCCGTCCTTCGCCCGCCGACCCGTCACTGTTTGTTCGCACTGGTTCCACTCCGTTCTTTGTTCTTGTCTACATCGATAACTTAATCTTCACTACAGCATGCAGGGTTCCTCTGACCGAGGTGAAGTCCGAACTACAGAAGAGACATACATGCACTGACCTGGGTGAACTGCTTGCTACCTTGGCTTGCATATCAGCAGGGACAAAGCTGCTCACACCATCACATTGACTTGGTCACACATGGTGTTGTAGGCCTTTTAGCGGTTTGGGCTTCAGCACTCAACCATACAGCCCACTCCTCTTGCAGTTGATCACAAACTCACTGTCCCATTTCCCGACGAGCCGTTTAAGTCCCTTGGTCTCTACTCAGAGCTTGTGGGCTGCCTCACGTACATTATGACTTGTACTGTCCGGACCTCACCTTTCCCCTCAACACCCTTTCTTGCTTTGTTGCGACTAGGAGACACCATCTTGTTCGCTGAATGGCTGTTGTGAGGGTGGCGAAGTACTTGGCGACTATATCAGGCACGGGGCTTGTGCTTGGAGGGACACAGTCAGTTGTGCTGACCGGTCACTGCGACTCTTCCTACGCCAACGATGTGCAGACTCAGCAGTCTATATAGGGTTATTGCTTCCGCTTGGGCGCTGGAGCTGTATCATGGAGGTGTACACGGTCGTCGGTTGTGGCTTCGTTCAGTGCTGAGGCCGAGTTGTACGCCGGTGCCATGGCTGCGCGAGATCTTTGCGAGTTGACCTTCTTGCTCGCCAACCTTGGTGAGCAGCCTCACTCTGCACCGACCTTGTTCGCTGACAACAAACATGATTATCCAGTGCCAAGAGCCTCAACTAGAGAGCAGAGTGAAGCACATCGAAGTGAGGTACTTTCTCCTTCGAGAGTTGCAGCGACGCGGCCAGGCACGCTTGGACTTCACGGCCTTAGAGGTAAACACTGCTGTCATCTTCACCAAGGCCCTTCCGCCCGGTGATCACCACAGGTTCTATGTGCAGTTAGGCCTTGTTGAGATATGCCCTTGTTAGCTGTAGTCTTGTCTCTTGTCTCTTTCTCTTTGTTCTTGCGTTTCTAAACATTTTTTGAACTTTTGAACTGCCCTTGTAGCCTCTTGCTTGTACTCGGACGATGTGGTGACTTTGTGATCCACCCTGAGCTTTGTGTTGTTGCTTCTCTTGACTGGTCTTGTGACCATTTGTGCTTGTTGCTCTCTTTTGTTGTCCCTCACTTAGCCTATGTGGGGGTGTCAAAAAAAAAAAATATATATATATACATACATATTATTGTAAGCTGTAATGATGCATACTCTAGGGGGTATAATAGTTTTAGGGTTAGTACTTGTATCACTCATCCTTGCCAATCTCATCATTCTTCTTGCACACTTTGAAAGTTGTAACCAGATGCACACCCCTGCCTGCCAGTATTTGGAGAATGTGCTAGTGGCGCCTGCTGCGCACCCCCCCCCCCCCCCCCCCCCCCCCCTCCCCCCCTCTCCAAAGTTATGCCAGCCCGACGGTCTATTGAGCACCTACTACAGCTGGCGCATGCTGTGGCTGACGAATCTGAAACGTAGGTCGCACGTGTGCTTTTGGAGCAAGTTCGGATTGACAAATCTCCATGAGCGGCCCAACCTCAATGTTTGTGATATGGCTTGTCAGGGTCATAACCAACACCCCACCCAATATTTCGTTACAGGGCATACATAACAAGGTGTAGCTGGCTGAAACAAGGAACAAAACAAATACAAGAACTTTGTGCCTGTGTGGGTGTGTGACGTAGGTGCACATTAGCATGTAAAAAGGCCTAGAGAAGTATGCCACATGTACTCCTTACGGATGACCCTTTGTTGTGTGTGGACATGCGGGAGTAGTTACATCAGGAAAGAGCGAGAAAGTTGGCTTAAACATTACGACCGATTGCATTCGGGTGAGCAGTGCCGTCTTTGTAATATGCGTGTAAACAAAGGGGGGAGGGGGGAGAGGGTGGTTTTGAACTTCTCACGTGTACACCTCGCAATGTTCATGCAACTGAGGTCAAGCAACTGAGTTCAATGCAGTCATGCCTACCTGTGGCACCCCGTCCTTTCCCTTGTCCCATCCCTTGGCCCCTTCCTTTGCGGAGTGTGACAGTATCAGGGAATAAAAAATATACACCCTGAGGCATCAGGCAAAGGTCTATAGAACAGGGGCTCAGGTTCAATTTACAGAACCATGATTGAACAAAAGCTGATTGACAGCCTTTCTAGAAAAGAAAACCTGCTTTTTCAGGGTTCTTTACAAAAACCAATGATTTGACAATGTTCACGCCTCGCAGCATGTATATTTCCCCTCGGTAGAATTTTGGCTAACGACCGAGTCATTTTGTGCTGTTCAAATTCAATAAATAACTTACGATTGGTGAAAAGCAACGGTTGTACTGTGGAAATGTAGTAGTCCAGGTATAAAACACTCTGAAATTTCAAGGTGATGTAAGTCATTTATCCTGAAATTACAAGGCTTTTTGAGCATGTACCTGCCCCTTATTAGGCCAACCCCTTATCAGGCTGACGTCATATCACTCTAAAATTCACATCACACTAAAATTCACCCAAACCCCTTCGTGCATTGTATCAAGCAAGTTTGACAAGAAGTTTGCCTGGTATGAGGCATAGAAACACGGCCTCACTACAAACATCCTGAAATTTCGTGGACATTAAGGTTGCATCACCTGAAATCAGGCTAATCAAATCAGGATGTTTTGCCCTACTATCATAGGCCCTGCCTGGGAGTATATTTTGAAGGTGGCAGTATTCTAGGAATATACACAAAAACACTCAAATTCAACAACTAGAGGGGCTGGTGAATCATGCCTATTACCGTAAACCTGCCTAGAATTTGTTCATATGGTGCAAAAGAACATGAGTTAACCATGAGTTAGAACCTTGTTCAGGTCTAAAGCCCAAGCCAGCTCTAATTGAAGCATCCACACAATCCCAAACCAGCTTTATTATAGCATTCATGACCACCCAGCAGCAAGGCCTCACAACTCCTCTGAGATCTCACTCTTTCCAAAAGTATTAAGGTCACCACCCATGCCACCACCGGCAAGCCTCTCCAGGCTCTCCACCATGCTCTCTTTCGCGCTCTTCCTGATAAGCATGCTTGATTCTGTGGGGGCGAAGATTTCCTCGCTGCAGTGCTTGGAGAGCAGTGCATGAAGGCGGCGAGCGACTTCTTTCATGGGGGGGCGGCGGGAGCCGGGCACCTTGACGCAGTCGAGAGCGATGTCGGCAAACTCCACCACCGCCTCATCCGGCGCCTCCAGTGCCGAGTCCTTCAGCTCGCTGATTTCGTACACCTGCACCTTGCTCGCCGCCTGTCATGCGTGGGGGGGGGGGAGTGGAGGATGGGTGGGTTAGGCGGGGAGGGGAGTAGGGCATAGGGGTTTGAGAGCCATACTGTAGCTGTTGGTGCAGGGAAGCCAGCCACAGTGAGAAGAATGGAGGGCATACGAGCCTCTATTTGTAAGGTGAGAAATAGTGAGGTTTCTTCAACTATTTTAGCTCGAAAGCCAAAATTCCTCCAATGCACTCACCCATTCACAAATATGCTGGTAGGTTCCTCCAATATGGGTCCTCTGCTTAGTCAAGAGCTCAAGCAGCACGACACCAAAGCTGCAAATGTGGGTTGAATGCAGAGATTAAAGAGGGGAGGGAATACGTAAATAGGTTCAACCGGAACAAGGTCTCAATATTCTCAATGTCCTGCAAAAGAACGTACAAACCCTCCAAATATGGAATGAAAAGGAATCATAACTATGAAGCCATCCAAAATATTGCGCACCTGTATACGTCGGACCTTTCAGTCACCACACTAGAACGATTGTAATCCGGATCCACATAGCCCGGAGTTCCGGCTATTCGCGTCCGATCATCATGCTCTCCTGCTTGACTCAGCTGCTTCAATAAGCCAAAGTCCGCTATTTTAGCCTGAGTACATGCGCATGGACACGCACATGCAACCACAACCACACCCACACTCACACAAAAAACAAACCCAAACAGTCACACCCGACCCATCCACACACCCACCACACCCACACCCATATCCCCCCTTCCCACACATATACACACACACTCACCCGCACACAGATACACACATACGCACGGACAAATATGTGCATGCACACATGTGCATGCATGTTCCGCCTCCCGTTTCCCAGCTACCCAAACTTCCGCATACACACACACACACACACACACACACACACACACCCACACACACACACATCCACACACACACACACCCACACACACACACACACACACACCCACACACACAAACACACACACACACACACACTCACATGATTGCACGCACAAACACACACACTAGAATCAACGGTTTGCCATAACTCCCAAGACAGTACCTGTAGCCCATTAAGGATATCTGAGTCATCCCAGTTGCCCTTATATGCAACACACACCCGCAATGGGAAAAAGGTACGAGATTCGGTCACACCGAGAGGTCAACCTTTGACCGCCTTGACAGCAGTCTGTTGTCAAACTGGGTCAAGATGTGATGTTGTTACGAGAGTCAACGCTTCCAGGATGTCTGGGTCATGGTAGTCTTTCTCCCCTTCAGAAGCTCTAGCTCATCACAGCGATCATTTGAGCAATAGTTCCCCGCAATGCTGAACTTGCCAAGGGAGAAGGTACACACTAAGAGTTGAACCCCAGACCGCTCTAGAGTAGCGTTAAGCTATCCATCAGTGTGAGAAAGGCATGCTGGTTTTGTGGGTCAGTCAGTGCACCCATATACCCATGAAGAACTTATAAGACCAGGATCTCTAGGTCATCTCAGTAGCCTTTGAAGGCTTTAACTTACAGTGGTTTATGCCATGTGCTTTGCACTGATATATGTTGAGCAAATTGTAATGCCACCATTCTCCCCACGGCCCTCCCTTACCTGGTAGTCCTGTGTCACGAGGATGTTGCTGGGACTGGGGTCTCGTCGTTTCCTTACCTGCTTACTGCTTCCGTTCTCCCCACAGCCAGCCCCACCTGGTAGTCTTTTGTCACGAGGATGTTGCCGGGCTTGAGGTCGCGGTGCACGATGGGCGTCGCAAAGCTGTGCAGATACGCCACTCCCTCCGCTGCCCCCACCGCCAGCTGCAGCCGCTGCTGCAGGGATAAGGGGGCTGAGGAGAAAGGAGGTACTTTTGAAGGAAATCAACTTCTAGTGCAAGCATTACAATGCTCCAATGAGACGACAAGGAGGTGGAGCCTTTGGAACGATGTGGAAAAAAATACGAGTTTAGTGGTGAGGAATGACTATTCAGCCGAGCCGAGTCGAAAAAACTCGGTAGAGTAAACGAGTACTCAAATGTTACTCCGCCAGAAAGGTGTGGGCAATAGCACTTGTGTGTAAAAGTGGCATAGCACGCAACGTATTACTGGTCGCAACATGCTACGTACTTTTGTGAACCCTTACACGGTCCTTGCCAGATCGTGTGGTCATTTGTTTTCTTCCACAACACAACCAATCTTCTTCAACCTCACTCTATGAATCAGGTTTTCACCACTTTGCTCACCTCACACGCCTTTCTCCCCCTCAGCACCCTGACCTTTTCAAGAACCGTGTTGAGAAGATTTGCTCCATCCACACTGTATCTCTACTCCTCTGTGTCACCATACTGGCTCTAGTGTCTGCCGTCTAGTCAGGTTGACCCGAGATATGTTGTTGTGACCAGATGACAGGTCGGATCGACCCGTTGCGACAGGTTGCTAATACATGTTTACTTGAACGAAGCCGACTCGGCTGGATATTACCGCCCCAGCCCCTCCGGGTCGGTACCAGCAGAACTTTGACCCGTCCTGGGCAGAATGCCGTAAATGGCAGAGCAAGCTATAGCCTTTTACCGGGAATGAAATGTAAGCAATGAAAAACTAGCATATGAACCGCTTTGCTGTTCACAAAGATCAGCAACTTGAAGAGTACAACAATGGGAGCATACTCTTAAGATTCATGGATGTGGTAGTTGAGGTCCCCATTGGTAGAATTTTAAGGTATTCTTTCCTCTAGGAATGTCGGGAGGGAGAAACATACTCTTTGAGTTACGGATGTGGTAGCTGAGGTCCCCGTTGGGCACGAACTCGTAGACGAGGATCTGCTCCTGCTGGCCGCTCTCCACGTTCTGATGCAGGCAGAAGCCCAACAGGCGCACCACGTGCTCATGCCACAGAGATGCCATCGCCCGCACCTGCCAGTGGCAAGGGGGGTTAAAGGCGAAAAAAAAAACGGTTTAAACAAACGTTTTTATGCTGCAGCGATGCCATCGCCCGCACGTGCAGACGGTAGAGGAGGGGGGAGGGGGGTGTGGGGGGAGGAGGGGGGGCGGGGGGGAGGGGATGGAGGGGGTGTGTGTTAATGGGGGGTTATAGGAGAACAAAAGAGGGAATTATAGTAACGTCCAAGGGGATTTCTTTAACATCACATCCTAACCTGGACCACCATTTGCAGGAATGAAAACCGTAAAGCGCAGCTTCTAGCTTGGTCCCGGTGATGCAAAGAACCAGTTCGTTCAAACATCTCAACGCCACCAATGTCACTCCAAGCCCCCACGGTGCACATGTTTCCCTCACTGACCTCCTTCTCGAAGTCGTTGGACATGAGCTCATTCCGCTTGATGGCCCACAGATCGCCCTTGCTGGACACACCCTTGTAGACGGTGGCAAAGCCGCCCTTCCCCAACACACGCTCCTCTGCCCAATTGTCAGTCGCCCGGACAATCTCCCCAATGCTAAACTCCTGACACACGCCCAGGTCGCTCCACTTTCCTGCCACACAGGGGATACATCAAAACGAAAGGCAATGCACATAGGCTACAGTCATGAGCATGGGTTGAGCCAGGCTGGCTTGGCCGTTGGAGAATCAACCTGCACCTTGGCAGTACTAGTACCTTAAGGGCGAGTGTGGTGTGGGGTACCATACCAGGATTTGTAACAATTAGCCAGGTGAACCAAATCTTATTGTTTGGGGGTTCAAGAATCTTGAGCAGCTCTATATTCTGTGGGTGAGTCCATCATGTAGGGTTAGAGTAGAACCTACAGAGAATAACAAGGTTTTCAGACTAAATCCTTGAACTAATAGATCAAGAAAGACTACAGATGACCTTAAATAAGAAAAAAAAAATTGGGTTTTGCAAATGAATGGAAGGACGGGATCCCGACCAAATTTTCAATGGAAAGATTGGTTGTATTATGAGGGTAATCGTAACCAGGTAGGTTTGAGATAACAAGTTCAGTCAAACGTTTTTTGTTTTCAATGGGTACACACAATGTTAACAGCCTAATTCTAACACACCCCCTTGGCTTGGTTGCAACATACTGACCATGGAATGTGAAGCCCCATGAAGATAAGTAGACGGTACTGGTCTTGGCAAACGGTGCAATGTGCTGAGATTTGAGATACACATGTTTAATTAGCTCACTAAGAAAACGGTGGCATACCTCAGTGTGCTTGGTCCAGCTGTGAAATCCAGGGTCCTTGGCTTGGTGAGGTGGATAGTGTTGCTGTTATCACACCGGTGTAGGTATGGATACAAAGGCGAACCCCTACCACTCGAACACGTTCGACATGCGAGCTTCTAGATCTACTCAAACCCCAAAGTTTCTTAATAGTAGAGTAGTCGCTTCTATGCACTAGAAAAAGGGTGAACTCGAACCCGTTCTGTTCGCCCCTAACAAATTTGAGCACCTGTTCAAATCTTTCATTTCTTGCAAAGATGGTGTTCAACAGTTTGTGAGAGAGGTCGAACACTTGGGTTTGCTTTTCGGACAGGTAAGTGTGGAACTTAAACACGAACCTACTCAGTATGAGTTCACCATTCGCTATAGGAAGCTGCAGGTTGCGTTGTAATATGTGTTAGCCAGCATTCTCGAATTCCACCAAACACGCAAAGTTTGCAAGCTGCACATGTTGCGTTCTACTATTTAAATTTGAGAACATTTTGAGTCTATCCCAAAGTGGTCGCCTACAAAGGCGAACACTCGAACACGGAGTCTATAAAAAAAGTGTTCGGGGCAAACAGAGGATCACACCACCTCGAACTGGTATCCCAAATGAGTTTGACTTGAATCCGCCAAGGAAACGATGTTATGGCCAAAGAAACTTGCTGTGCATTTTCCATGACAAGGCATTCCCAAGTTTCGACGACAAGAAGGTTTCCCCATAGTCTGCACTTTTCTCTCAAATGTTCCCAAATGCGGACAAGGTGGCACATTGTTTGGACATGCGATCGCTCCGCATCTTTTCCTCGAAGGTCTCATGTTTATATAGGACTACATACGGTGACTGAGGGTATGACCCGAACAATCAACTGCATCTTACGTAGTTGTCAAGGTCCTAGCTGTGTTGACCACCCATTGTGGTGAACTCAGAAGCTGGGGCAGACTCTGGATTCCACTCCCACTCCGAACAAGTGAAGGGATTGTAGGAAAATTTGGTATGCATCGCCTTGGCTTCGCACTCCCAATTGGGAGTTCCCGCCATCGTTTTTGCGACCTACAAGCCCGATGCTCACTGGGCGCAACAGGGAGTGGTGAGGTAACCGTTCATTGAATTGTCTTGCTTGACATTGCCATTCACGGTGTCCAAAGCAGTTCTGCACTGTACCCGGGATACCTCCTCTGTGGATTTCAAGTCGCATGGGGACACTTTCTTGGCGTCCAGACTTGGAAACAGAAAAAATAATGAATGTGATGGAAAAGACAGCTCAGAGAAAGGGGCGGTGGCTCACTGCGTTGGCGAGGCCAAAGCAGCACGACAACGAGAGCGAGGAGGAGAGCAAAGGCGGCAGCAGAGCCCACAGCGATGCCCACCACTGCGCCCATGGAGAGTGCTGGAGATGAGGGGTTGGGGGGTTGGGGAGGGTGTGGGGGGGAGGGGGACAAGCATAAAATTTAAGAAGGCAGATGGGCAAATTACAATAAACAGAAACAGTTGCAGATAAACCTGTTGTTCCTTGAATTGGCATTCTTTCCAAATCCACCTTTTCAACCAGAAAAGGTTTCATTCCCTTCCTAGGCAATCACACAGCGCACCTGCAGCAGGGGGCGGAGCAGGTCGGGCGCAGGTGGAGCCGAGGGTGCCGTTGGTGGGGACGAAGCCGTCGTCGCACTCACACGTGAAGCGCGCCTCTGCTGCCCCCGCCTGCGGCGGCACACACGCTCCGTGCCCGTCGCACGGCCCCAGCTCCCGCGACATGCTGCAGAATGCCAGGCACTCGTCGCTGCTGCGCTGCGTCTCGTTCGCCGTGCACTCCATCTGCTTGTTCAGCGTGAAACAGTTCCGCCGCAGACTCGCCTTGGCGCGCTTGTTGGCCCCTGCACGTGCTGTCTCAACAAATCCTCCCAGCCCCTGGGGTCCACACCGGCCTCCAGAGGGTCCGGTGAGGTCTTCTGGTGTTAAAACAAGGGGCTGGATACCCCCCGAGGGGCAGAACTGGCAGCCATCGGCGTAGAGCATGGGGTCGCCATAGAAGAAGTTGCCTGCGATGTTGAGAAGAGCGCCGTTGTCAGGAATCATGCTGCGGAAGTTGCTGTTGATGGGGCCGTAGAAGCTGTTGTTGCTGATGTCACTGAATCAATGGAAAGAGGGGTGGCAAAGAGAATTGTGGAGGGCATTACAAAAACGGCAAGCACTTGCTGTCTGTGTCTGCGATTTTAGACATGGGAACATCCTCGAGCCGTGGCTAGCTCTGGCTGGCTTGTTCTGAGTTTGCTGGCTTGCTCTGACAGTCCAGAACGCCGATCCACAAAGATCGGCTATCAAAATGACTTGCTTGGCGGTCAAAATGTGTTGATCCACGGAGATTGCCTGTAAGACTATGCTAATCCAGACGTAGGTGACGTCAAATGTGCCACCAACGTCTCACCCCTGCCACGCACTCAAACCAACCACAACTAGAAAACCCCACCTTTCCCTTCAATCCCATCACTGGAAAATGAGTGATCCCGTGAACCCTAGCTTACTTATACCTCCCGCAACCCTAATTCCTCCTGTTCATCCATTTTGCCTTGTGTTTTTTCGCCCTCTGAACTTGTGTTTAGCGTCTGCACAGTGGAGTCAAATGCTATCATTTCAAACACTAAACACAATTTTCGCAACCAAAGTCGAAATGGTAGATCCATGCAGAGAGTAAGTAATATATGCGCGTCGGTTGGCAGGAGTCGCCACCGGGTCGATCCGAACCACCCCCGAGTTGGGTGACCCGCCCTTGTAAGCTCGGATCGCCCCGGCTCCCACCGGGTCCTGACTCGAAATTTGGATAAGCCAAGCCGTCTCGAACCATGGTGGGTCAGCCTGGGCCGGGACAGGTTGAGACGAGTCAACCCGTTGCCCATGTCTCCCAGTGTTTAAGTTGTCAGATTAAAGCTCAAGATTTTCTTTTGCTTTTTAATAGTTCTTACTCGCCCGAGTCAAGCCAAGCAAACTGGATCAGGAAGAGTGAATTCTATTTGACTGTGATTCTACTTTATTCCACAAGGATTCATGTGCTCACAATTAACAAAAAACTCATTGCATTATTTGAGGCTCAGGGGATGGGAGCTTACAATGGGTTCTGTGGGGGGGCTGTGGAGAGGATGTGGGGGGGACGGCACTAGCAATGAGCAAGGTACTGAAAATCAATCCGTTTTTTAAGCCAGTATTTCCATTATTTCAGGGGGTAATGGAAGACAATTAAATTCTTGGCAGCCATAACATAAGAATGCGAACTAAACACGTAAGGTATAACGAACAAGCATTGTACTTCATCCAGGATCGTGAAAACAGCCCACAGACTCAAAATCTAGGACTATACATTTAAAAGTGGTGGATTCAAATCGTTGGGAATATGAGAAGCTAGATGCCAAATCACAATTCCACAACCACGTCCCACAAGCGATGTCATCCCCTCATTAGAGGGCCATGGTCACAATTCAGAAAATACACATCCGCTCGAACAGGTTAGTGTTGACAGCTATAACGTTATGCGGAAGCGATTAGAGCTTGAACTACAAACTTTGCCTGGCAACACTTAACATCACGTGCAGCCCTTCAAGTGTGACAGCTTGTCACCTCCGCCAAGGGCGTAGAAAATAGCAAGTGAGTAGTTATGCCTTGCTCAGCTTGTAGGACGAGCAAACAGGTCGATAAGAATTTTGGCAGCACCAAGGTAATAAATCTACTCTCGTCAATACGAAGTAGTAGAATGCGAGCTTGAAAAACGTGAATGCATTGGATTAATTTCGACAGGTACAAGCACACATTTATATAGATTCTACACACAGGCAGGAGCAACTAGAAAACAGTTGTTTAACTGGCTTGCAGGATTTCGCCACGCTGTATCTTGAAAACAGTTGCACAACTCCTTGAGCATTTGGCTATATCCTCCTGTTGTTAAAAACTGTCTTCAAATTGCACTTGTAACAATCACCCCTGCTGACTCAAATGTGTACACTCATGAGACTCGCATGTTGCTCCAATGTAGCTCAAATGTCTTCATGCGAGCTCACAGTTGTATAACGGTTTTTACCGTTTGAAAAACGGAGTAACCGATTTGCACCTGTGTCGAAATGATTCCGCAAAGTGAAATGACTTTAGCGAGAAATTTCCCGTCCCGTGAGTCAACTCGGAAAACAGTTTTTCAACTGTAAATTCCGAGCACCCCTCGTGCCACACGCACGACCTACATTTTTTCTCGGTCGTGCTGTACAGCGCGCCATGATCGAAATCATGCACGTGTACAGTACGGGACAGGGCCGAAATGGGCCCTGTCCTGTTGCGATCGTGCTGTACAGCACGCTCGCAACAGTACGCGGCACACGCGCGTGCCCTGTGGTCCCACACGCGCGTACCTTGACCCACGATCGGGTCTTGACTTTCGCGCTTTTGACCAGCGCGAGAAAAGTCAAGGCACCTCTTGACCAGTCAAAGAACCGAGCACCCCTCGGTACACCATCCGCTCACATGAGGCTCCAATAAGTCTCGCATGAAAATTCGAGACTCATGGGACTTTCATGGTCGCTCGCATGAGCCTCGCATGAAACATTTAAGTCCCATGCGAGCTTCGTTTGAGCTCCATAAGGTCTTCATTTGATCCTCATTTGAAGGCTTCGCATGAGTCTCATTTGAGAGCTTCGCATGAGCCTCATTTGAGCGCGTCATGAGGGCCTCATTTGAGAGCTTCGCATGAGTCTCATTTGAGCGCGTCATGAGGGCCTCATTTGAGCGCTTCATGGGAGCTTCATGAGAACAGTGAAAACGAAAATGAAAATGCAAAAACACAAAATGCACTAATGAATAAAAACGAAACACACCAAACGCAAGAACAAATGCGCACAGAACGTTCACAAAATGAAAATGAAAAATGCGCACACACACAAATATGCAAAATGCGACGCAGGCGGCTGGTTGACGTGCAAAAATATTTTTTTGCACCCAACAGTTAGCACCATGTAAGTGCACGGTTGAGCTGCCCTTCTGGCACATGGCCCTACTCTAACATGTTTGAGTCAAACCGGACCGCCATCATCCAAAGTGCGGTCAGTTTTTTGCTCATGCTGAGTGCTCTGTAGGTATTTTCCATATTAAAAAACCATTGTTTTTCAATCTTAGAAGCCACCTGAGCACAGTCTTATACATCCCTGAAGTCCCCCCTCGCAGTATCAGTCAACGGCACTCACATCTTGTGCAAGCAGTGTTCAAAGAGGCAGGACGGAAATTCTCCATAAAAGTTGTTGTTCTGAAGAGAACTGAAACAGGGAAAGACGTGCCGTGCAAGAAATAAATTGTTGTGGCTAACTGAATGGGCACCTGCAAACAGTTGAACATGTGGAGGGGCAGTGAGAACAGGAGCAATGTCCGGAGCTAGCGATTTGTCGCATTTCTCTCAATGGAGCAACCATGGCCATTTTGGAAAACGGAAGTGGAAAACAATAGATCCATATATGGCAATGAATAGAGTGGCACATAGAAAGTACATTTTTTCCAGATGCTGAGGTTACATATTGAAGGAGGGAGTCTTCCTGTGAGCTGATTGTTAGACACAGACCTGCCAGCATGCAGAAGTATCAGAGTAGGCATGAGAAAAGGTCCCCAATTTCACCGTGCTGTGCAGGCTTGGGTTGTTTGGCTTGGATCAAATCGTGACCTCATTGCGAAGTTTGTCGGGTTTTTTTCTGATCAATCGGGTTGAGTTGAGTCAACCCAAGATTCTACTTAACCGGTCAGTGTTAGTTGACTGTCAAGGTGGCCAATCTGCGAAGATTGGCGACCAATCGCTAACCAGCGGTTCAAATGTGCTGATTTGCGCTGGCAGTTGAAATTGTCGATCTGCGGGGTTAGCAGCCAAAATTGCCGATCCGTGCAGATGGACAGACATAATCTTATATCTGCACAGTTTGCCAGTTAAACTGAAATGTGCTGGTCGGTGTGAATCAAGGGGTCAACGTGGTCGATCAGTGTGGGTCCGCTGGTCAAATATTAGTTGGCACTTTACGTTTACTTACGTGGGCCAAAAACAGCTTTACAATTACAGTCTGTTAGAAACATTTCTGGCTGCCCGGCCAAGAACGAGTTCTGAGGTCGAAGTGGCTACATGGGAACCGCCTAAGATCGTCTCCCTGGGAAGTTTGGGCATGGACAGCCCCAAAAGTGCATCTTTTTGGGTCCAGCAGGGCAGCTTCCACGTTTACCCCACGTGCCAGGCGAAAGTGGTGTGTGCGACCGTTAGGAAAATGGCAAAACATAACGCCCAATCAAATCTGCAAGCACAAATCAATTTACAATCAGCGTTCGCAACCCTGATCCCTACACCGATTATCACAACACATCACTGCGTCTCATCGTGGGGGGTCTTCGCACTTTTGGAGCCTGCGAACTCACGCAACGTCCGGATTCATTCCCCTCCACCTCATCACAATTCCAAACCTCTTGCACGTTGTGCACTTTTTGGTGTCCCAACTTTGAAGTTGGGACACACCCAGGAAGGCGATCTAACCAAAGATTCGCTTGCTTCTTTTGTGGTGTGCATGTAATCTCCTATTTACGTCACCTTACAGATGCTCGGTGCATACACTACCATGTCACCGCCTCATACTAGCAAGATGGCTTCTTATTTGCGTACATTTTTGTTTTTCCCTGCACATCCAACTTTACGTAAAACTACGAGTAAGTAAAGGTAAAGGTTAACTTACGCATAAGATTACGTTTGCATGACCGGAAAAACCGTAACGGGTCAAATTGCTAAACTGCACGGATAGTCAGTTAATTTTCCTGTTTGCTTGATCTAGGTTTGGGTAGGGTCGGCCCGACCCGGCCCATATAAGTCCGGGCCAGTTCTGCTGCCCCGGCCCAGGATGCTGACCCTAGTACAGGCTGCACCGGGCTCACTAACTTGGGTCGGGTCGGGTTGGGTCGGGTCACCCTTCAGAACGTCTCAAAAAAGTTCACCTAAAAAGAACTCATAAGAATCACCTTTAAACCCATATACTAGAGAAGCTTTGATTGTAACCGAGTTGGTGGGAGTATATGCATTAGACCGA